AGACATTCAGAGCCCCTCAGATGCTGACATTAAGGACCTGGGTCACTTAGCTGAGCCCAGCTCAGAACAGCCAGGTAACGGTCACTCACAGGGTGGGCAATCGAGCAACCCAACCTGCAGCCCAAACGTGGCATGGAATCCCTGTTTCCCCTCAAGCAGATGGTTTACACCAGCTACCCTAAGTTTTGGAGTTAATTAAATGGTCACAGGCATGACTGAATTCCAAAAACCACAAAACAAAAAACAAACAAACAAACAAAAACCTTAAGGAAAAAATAAAATTATCAGCTGTAAAGGTAATAAGTGCAATTACCTAGATCTTCTGGCTTAGGATATACTTGCATTGCTGATGGGAGCTACAGGAAGGGTTATTCCATACACACAGGGTTTTTTCCCCGTTATACTTTCAGCCCCAAACATGCACTAGCCGAGTAAATGGATGTTTGCTTTGACAACACAGCCATTCCCACATTGTTATTGCCAGCAAACAAACAAAATATGATCCACATTTACAGCTTAAAAACCCTGTGAAAATAAACCCCCCCCTCTTTTTCCAAGCCTAGAGGGATGCTGTACTTTGTATCTTGGCACTGCTTGCAACAGGAAGGAAAAGAAAGTGGGTTCATCAAATCCTCAAGGCTATTCCAAACATTGTAATTGCTTGTCTGCTCTGTGCTACAGGAACTGCTAAAATAGCTGAGGCCCAGATCTGCCCCCAGCCTGTTATTCTCTGTGTGTACACAGGCTGCTGGATCTCACTGCTGCTGCTGCAGAAAACTGACACTTTGGCTCCTGGGCAGATAAGACTCCCCAGAGTACAAGGCACAGCAGCAACCTCCTCTTCTGTAACCAAAAATTCAGACATAAACAGAGAAGAATTTCAATATCCTGCAAATGCAGCCATTAGCAGCTCCTCCTAATGAAACCACAAAATCCTGAGAAAGCCTAACCAATGCCATGCCCACAGGACTTCACACACGAGTGTCAGTCACCACCTAAAGACAACCCGTGAAAGCCCCGTGGAAACACCCCCAGTTGTGCATCAATACTTTCTCTTGTGTAACAACATGCAAGTGTCTCTAAACATCATTATAATGTGCCAGAGCAGCCTGGTCCATGTTGTACAGCAGCATTTTCTGAATGGAATGGGAGCTCTGCTGTTTGTATTTGCTGTTCACTGCACACAGGAACTGGATTGGGACCATACAAATGGTTTTCCAGCCTTATATTCCCACTAGTCAATACACTGCTTGCTAATTCCATTTACAACTCCAGAGCAAGGGCACAAATAGGATGCTTTAACAATTTTTCCAAAATTGCCAATCACCAGCTCAAGGTACCCAAGTTTTTCCCGTGTCTATTTTATACATTTGTGGACAATTTTCAGTGTGCTCTTGTGCCAACTTTCCCCATCAGTTCAAATAAGCCTTTTCCTCCCTGAGCTTTCCCTTTGCAAAGCAGTCAGAGCCAGCAGTCACATCCCCTCTCAATCTCTCATCTTCCAAGCTAAACAAACTTGACTCATCTCCACTTCTGTAGCCCTTTTCTCGGTCTGTTCCCCAGCTCCTCTTGCTCCAGCACTCCTGACTAGAACTGCACTAGGCTGGGCCTCGTGGCACCAGCTCACCCTGCTCCTGAACACTCACAATTGCATCTTCACTAATCCCAGAATCCCAGACTGCTTTGCCTCGGAAGGGGCCTTACAGCCCATTTCATCCCACCCCCTGCCACGGGCAGGGACACCTTCCACTCTCCCAGGTTGCTCCAAGCCCCGTCCAACCTGGCCTTGGACACTCCCAGGGATGGGACATCCTGCACTAAAGCATCCCAGGAGCTGTCCTGCTGTTGCAGAGCACTGTGCACTCCAGCAGGGCTGCAGGTTCATGTGGGTGCTTCTGCTCCAACCTGATCTTTTTTTCCCTTTGTTTCTTTGGGAGCCTTAGTTTTGTTTGGTTGTTTGTTTTTGGTTAGTTGGTTTGTTTTTTCTTTTTTTTTTTACACAAAACAAGCCATTTAAACTACTCCCAATAAACACAGAGCTCCAGCATTCTTATTTATGCAGTCCACAAGTTGCTGCACTTGAACCCCTCAGCTGGAGGTGAACAAATGGAACAACATCTGCTCAGGTGCTTAAAGCAGTGCGGGTGCCACAGGGGATGGAGGAAGCACCAGAGCTGAGCAGCTCATTTCCCACTGTGCACCCCTGGGGATGCTGCCAGTCCCGAGGTCTCTGAAATGGTGCTGTGCTTTTTAAGAACATCCCCTGATCCTGTGAGATGTTTTTACCTGGCTGCCCCACACCTGAGGTGCAACAGTTCTGCCAGCCCACAGGTTGTTACTGTGACCTTCCAGACAGCCCTGATGCAACAATTATCCCCCTGCTCCAAATCAAAGGGGGCACTTGGGGTAATAAGAGCAGAATTAACACAACATCATACCAATCCTGGTCAGTCCCTGCTGGCACAGGTCTGGAAAGAGGAGGAGAGCTCTGCCAGAAGACAAAGTCAGAAACTGAGGGAATTAATTACAATTATGGAAATGTCATTTTTAAAAAAGTGTTGTGTTTCTGAAAGTAGTTAAGAAGAAAAGATCATTAGCATAAGTAGTATAAGTGGGAACAGCTACTTTCAGAACTGCTGAGACAAAATCAGCCATTTGCTAAACACCTCACAGCTTCTTTCTGTTTAACAACTACAATAGCAATAACTACCAAAAAATCATGAAAACACCGTGTAAGTTGGGATTAATAGACACTAAGCTGGACACACACAGCCCAACACTGGAACACCCACTGACGAGGAGCAAATCCCCAAAAAACTCCATCAACCCTTTCATCTGCACCAGCACAGCCCCAAAGGAAACCAGCTTGTCTCCAGCATCAGGAGCCCCGTGGTAACACACCCTCCCATCAGGCTGGGGGAACTGCCACCTCTGTCACTGTCCAGCTCCCTCCACACACTCAGAGGGAAGGAACTGTTGCTGCAAGGTCTTGCTTAGGTTAAAAGAGACAAATGGGAAGCCCTGAAAGGTTCTGTCAGGGAAAAATAATTAATCCTGTCTGGTCATGAACAAAAGACAAATAAATTAAGCCACGGAATCTTTCTGGTCTAGGATCCCCGCTAATTACGCCTTCAACTTTAGAGAATTATCACTTTGCAGACTCATCCCTCAATAGCTGTTCACAGATTACCAGACCTTGTGCTGATGGATCATTATCCAGCCTTTGCACCATTAGCAGGATAAAGACATTGTGCTGCTCTGTGATAAAATACCACCTCAGTCACAGAGCACGGACCAGACCTTTCCTTCACGAGTTCTGGAATAGCAAAACTGCAACTACACATCCAAAATGGAACAGCTCCAGTTAATCCACTGGTGCCAGGGAGCTGCCTGGAGAGGAGGGTGATCAACAGGCATTCACCAAAACACTGCCAGAGAGCCCAGACCCAGGGAAAGGGGACCTGGGTGAAGACATCTGGGGGACAACTCAGAAGGAACATGATCACCAAACCAGAGGGACTGCACCAGTGGCCTGAGAAATCCCGGGAATGAATCCATTTCATCCGAGCAGCAGAATGGCTGCTCCTGGAGATGACAGGCTCACCAAGCACTCTGCTGTAACACAAGTCCCAGATGCAGCACACACATGAATTAATGTGACAGTGCCACTGTCAGACCGACTTAGAAAGTTATTAGCATCCTTCTGGTGTCCCAAATAAACTAGCAGTGCCCATGGGCAAGAAAAAAGCAGTACAGGGGAAAATGGAACTGCCTTTCATTAGGAAGATCCACAAACTGACAGATGATTAATTCTCCCACTAAGCCATTAACTTCATCCATGGTGACACAACCACAGTGACAAAAATGCAGACACAGCCTGGTTTACAGTGGGCTGCAAACCTCCCAGTCCTGACAAACACACCGAAAATGGAGATATGTTCTCTAGGAAAAAATACCTTTGCTTTGAAAGTGACAAGTATTTCTATCTTTAATTCATAGGCACTCCATGCTGCTGTTATTAATAGTGTCATCAATCTGCCCTGAAGGGACAGTTTTTAATCACTGACCACAAAGGGAATAAAAGAATACAAGATTTAGGCCTCTCAGAACAGCATTAGGAGGTCACTCTCCCAGCAGGCAGGCAGGGGTCCAGCTCTCTTATCAGATGAGACCTGCAGGAATCTATTCCAGGCAGGGACAGCTCCTGAATCCTGCTGACCCACCACAGGAGCACGGGCTGGGCTCAGCACTGCTCCTTACCCTGAGCCCCAGGGTGAGGCAAAGGGAGAGAAACTCTGAGGGGGGAACACATGTACTCTCTAGTTGATGCATCAAGTTTTAAGCATATAAAAAGAAATCCTGAGAAGGAAGTTTTTTTACGTCAAAATGACTTCAGAGTATTCAGTGATTTTGCTGTGGCGGGATCCTCCAACAACTGAATGATCACAGCACATCACCTGCAAGGGACTAGGAGGTGCGGGGTTGATGGGGACTGATTAGGGATCCCTGGGGGGCATCACAAGTGTCTGATCAGTACCTGGCAGTCAGGCCCTTCCAGGCACTTTCAGGTCAGAGCCTGCAGGTCCAGCACCGGCAGTACCGGGGGGTGACAGGCAGGCCGGACCATGAGAGCCCGGCGGTACCAGGGGTCAGTCAGTCTGTCTGTCTGTCAGTCAATCAGTCTGTCGGTCCCGGCGGGTCCGGCACGCGCAGCCCCGGGGGCGGCAGTCCCGCAGCGCCCCCTGGCGGCCCCGTGCGGCGCCGCCGGCAGCCCCGGTCCGTGTCTGTCCCACCGGGTTCGTGTGTCCCCCCCGCACTGACGGGGGTCCCCGCGCCCCCCCAGCCCGGCCCCGCACGGTGAAGGCTCGTCCCGGCAGGCCTGCTGGCTCACGGGCTCGGGGGGAGCGCCAGCGATGAGACACAGTGTGGATAGGGAAGGTCGGGGCCAGCTGACAGCAGGGAGCACAAAAAGCGAAACAGCAAATAACTTTGTGACTCACCGTGGAACACGCCGTTGTCCGCTAGGAAGTGCCTGCAGTACTGCAGACAGCTCTTCTTATCCAGACTCCAGTAACTCATGGTGGGGCCGCCTCCTGCTCACCATCCAAGGCACCGACCCTGCAAGGGAGACCAGAACAGGGAACTGCCAGTTAATTCACAAGAAATGCCCAACTGCTGCAAGCCCTGCAGTTATTTGTGCCCTTTATGCAAAATAGTTCATTGGCTTCCCCAAACTTGCCCATCTCCACAGACATGCAAGGCAAGGGGCATGGCAGGGCACCTGGATGGAGCTGGAGCCAGGCTGCAGTGATGCCACCAGCCAGCAGGTCCCAGCTGCTGCAGGGAGCCCACCCCACCCACAGTCGCTGCTGTCACAGCCACCCCAGGCCACGCTGGGGCCTGGAGGCACGATCAATGCAATCCATTTTATGATGCTGGCCCACAGTCAACAAGCTACAGACACATACAACAGCACCAAGGTTATACACACCAAAAGAGTGAGTTGAAGGGAATCACCTCCTGATTTTGAGACCAGAGTAGAGTTATGTGGACACAGAGCCCTTGCACCAGCACCCTTGCCCTTGGCAGCCACTGCCCTGTGTCAGCTGAAGCAGCCCCTTTGGGACTCTGCCTTTGTCCCTATGTGCAGAAATCCCTCCCATAGCTTATTATGCACAGTTCTATTGCAGCCAGACACACCAGCATTTCATACTTCTCTGAAGTATCCTTTCACTGGATCCTCCTTCTCCCTTAGCTATTTTGTGAAGTTCAAGATCTGGTTTCAGCAATCCAGACACCCCTTCCTGTTACAAGCCCACTTTGGTCTCTCATTTTATCTCCCTCCCACCTTCACTCTGGTCAACCCAGCTGCTTGCTCGCCCACACTTGGCACAAACTCCAACTGTCTTCAAACAAGCACACTCTCTCAGGATGTAAGGACACTGCCACTCAAGTCTCCTCAGAAAACTACTACCCCCTCCTCCCCAGGTGAGACACCACTCACTACAAGTGCCTGGGCTGCAGCTCTGCTGAGGGACACAGATCCACTTCACTAAAAAAGGACAAGAAATCTGAAATCACAGCCAATAGGACTTCTGTGATTCTTAATCACCAACTGAGCTACAATCATTTCTTGGGGCACAGCCACTGCTCTCAGCTATATGGGAACAGAGAAACCTGAAGAGCTTTATCCCTTCTCCATGCATCCATGCCATGAATCCAGCAGTGATGGAGGTGAAGGAGCTGATTGTGAGGAGCCCAGAAATACCTGCAGAGCTCCTCTCCCCCAGCACACATCTTAAAACTTCCAGTCTCCACTACAGTGTTTTGTTTACACCAGAGGCATATTTTGCCACAATCTGGAAGGCTAAGCAGTACTACCCACAATCTCTGCCAGGCTTCAGCTCTACACTCCTTGGGCTCCTGCCCTGGCCAGCCATGAGCTTTGTTACAGCCTGCGCTAAGCAGGGCCGCTCTTCCAGCAGTAATTAGGAAGGCACAAGCTGTTAGTTACTTCTACAGTGTAGGAACAATTCTACCACCGCGGTCCAGCCCACTGCCAGGCTCTTCGCTTTAGGCTATAAAAATACAAGAGGCACCGTGTTTTAATTAAGAAAACCATATCAAATATTCATCGCTGAGAATTTACACACAATAAGGAGATCTTATCTCCCACTCAGCTCCCACACAGAACTCCTGTCAAGGGGGATATTTACAGGGAAATGTTGCTATCAATATATCCCTGCAGTGCCTCTGAAAGAGCCCCTCGGCCCCCTCCCCTGCCTTCCAGGGCTCATGCCGATACAATCCTCCTTTGTTCCTGCACAAAGGCTTCTCCCACACCCCGGTGGCCCCTCGAACAAAGGTTCTCCCTGGCACGTCAGGGACCAAGGCAGAATCCCAGGGGGGCTGCATCAGCTGACACTGCCATCCCGGAAGAAAACCTTCCTAAGAAACACCAGCAGGTTTTTGGATGGCCTTTGAAGTTCTTTCCTGTCCAGAGCTCCGGGAGAGCCCAGCCAAGATCATGCCTTACCCCACAGACACAAAAAGGGAAACAAAGACCCAACCAACCCCACACTTGGGCCAAATACCATCATTTCAAATGAATCTGCACTCGGGAACTTGACTGTACACCAATTTGCACCACTTCAACAGCAGCAGCACAGTAGAGAAGGACCATCCTGTCAGTGCCATAAACCAGAACCTTCCACAGGCTATGCCTATACAATTTATTTTATACATGTAGAAGAAGCTATATGAGCAAAAAGTGTTAATAAGCAGGTTTAAACAAGAAAGGACTGTACCACCAAAACTATTTAGGGGGAAAAAAAAAAAGTTACCAAAATCCTGACCAGATAGAAATCTGAGTTCAAAATCAGCTTGTGTAGTTACTTGATGAAGCAGCCAATTCAGAGCGAGCTGAAAACACTCGTTTTTCGCTCTGCAGGTTTCTTAGCTTGGGGGTATCACTTTCACAACAAGCAGAATTCCTGCAGGTTCAGCCCCGGGCCTGGCACATTCATCCCAAGTGATCACTGTTGATCGGTGCTGAGAGATGTTACTCCAGTGTGTCAACAGTCCATTCACTTTATATCTGGATAAAGTGCATATATATGGAGGTTGAGCAAGGGAGTCCATTGTGTGGGGTGCAGAAACACAGCAACTTGAAGGAACTGTATCTTCTTTTTTGGCTGATTAATTTCCATTAAACCTCTCAGCTGCCTCATTTGAGTGCTTTGAGCACTGTGTTCCACAAGAGACACCTTTCCAAAGGGCTGTGACAGTTCTACCGAGCTGGACCTCACCGCAGAGTTATTCATGGATGTAAACCAGTAGCGCTCAGGTTATTAATGGAAGCAAACTGATACTGCTCATTATTAACAGAAGTAAGCTCATATTGCTCAAAGAAGTTTGATGCAAAAAATAATTAAACTTACATATCCATGAGTGCATGTATAAATGGTGTAGATATAGACGGATGAGATGAACAAATATGATTTTTTTTGTTCTCAGAAAGTGGGTAAATTCCCCTCAAGGAAGGTTTCCTTAGATGCATGCTTTATGAAGTTCTTTGATTAGAAAAGTTGTGGACATGAACATGTCAGATGCTTCTGAATTTAGCAGAGGATGCACATACTCTGCTTAGGTTGTGAGAGAGTTCTCCTGGCCAAAGGCTCAGCAGCAGAACAACCCCTGCCCCCGGGTCTCACTGCATTCTGCAGCTTCCCCTCACGCAGAAAACCCCGTGCCTGAGTGAGCTGTGCAGGGAAGCAGGGAGACACCAGGGAAACAGCCCCAGCCCAGGCTGTCACACACCGAGCCGGTTTGGAAAGCAGCAGCATAATCCAATATTTCTCTGCAATATTTAAGCTGGACACTGTGCAGGTCCCCGGGGTGAAGAGGGCACTAAGCACACGCCCACTTAGCAGCGGACAGGAAGGTTTGGGTCCTGTGACAGCTCCCAGAACAGATTAGTGGGTCACCCACGGAGCAGTTCCCAGGCTGGGGACTGTTCACTGCCCCTTCTCACCTGCCCTGTCCCTGATTGTTCCTGGAGCGCTTGGGCAGATAGCAATGCTGAGTCCACCAGATCCCACGGATCATTCCCAGTGGCAGGACAGACGCTGCAGGGCACCAGCACTTCCCTCTCCCAAAAACACAGCTCCAGTCTCAGAGCTCACTGCTCCAGCACCTACCCAGTGCACACATGATCAAAGTGTGATTTATGAAAACTGATTCCCTTCCTTAGCCCCAAATGGTGTCTAAAGTGCTTGTGCCCAGCAACTCTGTCTTCAGCAGAAACTAGAGTCCAGAAAACACTGAATATATTGAGAGGGCTACAGAGTTTGGAAACTCATGCCCATTTCAGATACCTGCCAATGATAAATATCACCATGGAAAATAGTTCAGAGATACTGGACATTACAGTTGACATAAAGGAAAATAATAATAATAATAATTTCAAAAAGTTAGAAATGAGAAGAGCAATCTGGAGTCTCACAAAGGGGACCCTAAATGTGTGCTGGAAATAAGGCTGTGTTAGCTGCAGCTCTGGCCAGAGCACTCGTGTAGCATTAGGGATCCCTGGATGGGAGGGAGGACAGACCATCTGGCTGGCACTAAGCAGCAGGAATATAGTCCAGCGGGAAAGGCTGGGCTTTAATCTGGCAGCTGTGATTGTGTGGGGGCACCCAGCATCTCTGTTGAGCACCATATGTGGGCAGTTACCTTCCAGCCACTGCAAACAGCAAATAAACACCAAAGCACAGAACAAACACTACTTTGGACTCCCCTGGGAGAATCCTGAGGTGGTAGTGAAAAGATAAGCAATTTAGCTTCACAACAGATCTACAGTATCCTTAGAAGGGAGGGAGGTGAAGTGATTTACCTTAAGCTCGAGAGTAAGCAGAAGATTCACTTGCAGTGCCCAGGACCAGAAGGAGGGGCTGCCCAGGGGGGATTGCTGATTTGTCTCTACAGTCTCTTGGTTCAATGTCCCACATCAAGCTCTCCATCATTTCCAAAGGTGCCAGGAGCACTCAGCAGGCTGGCAAACACATTGCAGTGGCAATCAAAGATGAGACACTTCCCTTAGGACTTGCTCTCCAGAGTCCCAGGGCTCAGCCCTTTGCTGTACTGCTACAGCAGTACTGACGGGCACTGACCAGAGGGAGCCAAGCCATTTGCAAGTGTTTACACCACAACATGCAACCAGGAAAATTCATGCTCTCACCAACTTCCCTTCCCTGGACTGTACTAAAAGGTGTTGCAGGTTCTCTCCTAGGTTAATTTATTAGTAGCCATCAACAGGGAATTTCCAGTCCATATGACATCTCCTCCCCTGGCACACCCCTCAAGCCTCTGCACAACAAGGGCTGTATTTTTGAAAACAGTATCCAAAAAAACCAAAGTACCTATTGGATGAAAAGCTTAGCAGTAGTTAGACCTAGAAACCAAATCTGAAGAGATTATAAAACCCTAATATGACCATATTTCATGGAGCACCCACCCATCTGCAGTCTTGGGCTTCTTATTCCACTAAGCCACTCAGAGTCACCCAAATATTGCTAAGCATTTAAGCTGGTCTAAATTCATGCAGATTTAGATTTAACTGT